ACAAAAATTAGCTGGGTGTGGTGGTGCGTGCCTGTAGTCCCAGCTGCTCAGGAGGCTGAGGCAGGAGAATCGCTTGAACTTGGGAGGCGGAGGTTGCAGGAAGCCAAGATTACACCATTGCACTCCAGCCTGGGCGACAGAGCGAGACTCTGTCTCAAAAAAAAATTTAAAGAAAGAGGGATGTTTAGAACACACCAGAAAGTCCAAGTCATGAACAGTCTGTGTAAGTCACAATAAGAAGATTTATTTCCCAAAAAAAGAAAAAAAGAAAGAGGCCAGGCAAGTGGCTCATGTCTGTAATCCCAGCACTTCGGGAGGCCAAGGTGGGCAGATCACCTGAGGTCAGGAGTTGGAGACCAGTCTGGCCAACATGGCAAAACCCTGTCTCTAATAAAAATACAAAAATTAGCCAGGCATGGTGGTGCACACCTGTCATCCCACCTTTTTGGGAGGCTGAGGCAGGAGAATCACTTGAACCTGGGAGGCAGATGTTGCAGTTGCAGTGAGCTGAGATCACATCACTGCACTTCAGCCTGGGTGACAGAATGAGACTCTGTCCAAAAAAAAAAAAAAAAAAAAAAAAAAAAAAAAAAAAAACTTTTATATGATCAAGTTGTCTATAATTAAAAGGAAATTATAGTGATCTTTCTAGAGATTGGGCTTGATGCAAAAAACAACACTTATATATTAAATAATTGCTTTGAACAATGAAATTTTCCTAAGGGATTGATTTACTCTTAATAGATTATAATATATTTTAATTTTTTTAACCCAAAGTTCAACTTTTATTGCACCTCACCATTTTTTTGTTTTCTCTCCCTTCTGAAATAGTAATGCCCTCCTTCAACTCATTTTCAGCCCATATATGTTTTTTTCAAGTTATCTTTGTTGAGGTCTGATGCTAACAATATTTTCTTAAGGTCTAAACAAAATGTTTTCTTCCAACGTAATATTCAGTGCAGTGAGGAAGGTATTTTCTTTTGCCTTTTGGTAACTGGCCTAACAGATTTTACGATTTATTGAAACAATTCCTATGCCATTATTACTAAGTTTTGCTTTGCTTAGGAAAAAACTGAGATTAAAACAACTTTTTAAATTAAATTTATTACATCCATATATCTTTCTGTATGTGCTTTTACAGTCCTTGTGACATTGATTTATAAGGCCTTGATTCCTGGGTCTAAAAAGGACACCAAGTCCCACTAAATCTTAAAAACTGACAGCAATTAAAGCCTCATCTTCAGGCCTGGTAAAAGATGCCAATCAAAATAAACTACATTTCAAACTACAGAAATGAAAGCTATTCAACTCCTCAAGACCAAGAGACTATCAAGGAAGAGGTGGGCATGTGAGATTGTATGGGCTGATTTTGAGAGATAAAATAGTTCAGTTTCTTTAATGTCAAAGACACACAAATGCAAGACCAGCATATAGGCCCCTGTGTCAGATTAACAAGGTTTTCTTAAAGCATTAACTGACTCCCTAATAAAGGTTATAAATGGTATAAAAAGCTTATGGAAGTTATATCTTATGGTTAACATTAAAATTTTATAGATTGTTTATAAAATTTTGAAAAACAAATCTAATTGGCTTCATCCTGTTTTTATTAGGGCTTATTTGGAAAATTAAGTCTCCTCTCTGAAAGAATGAAGGTTTTCACCCTTTTTTGAAATCTTTATGTTATCACTTCAGTTAAATGAATAACATATTTTACAATGACCTGTAATCTCATTTTGTAATATTGAGTGTTTAAACCTTTGATATTTGACAAACTTTCCAAAGTGAGATTAAAAATTATGTCTTTTTCTGACCTAATGAATCCTTTAAGGTATAAAGTTCCCTAAAGTCCAAAAATGACATATATGGGGTTTTTTTGGTACAAAAATTATACAGGAAACATTGTCAAATATGAAATGCTATTTGGTTTTCTTTGGGCTGCATTGTATAAATATATTATTGATGTGTTCCAAAATTATGAAAAAATCCTATAATTCTGATAGGACTTAGTGTACGTTATCAGTAATAATTATAATTATGTTAGTGTGTCACAGAGGTAACAAGTTTTCTTGTCAATTGCGTCTTTGACTACGACTTCTCTAAAATTTTTTGTCATCCATGGACAATTGTTGTTTTGGTCCTCTTTAGAAGGTGGTTTTATAATCAGCTATAAAACTCTGAATAGGTGCTCCTCAATGCAAGTTTCTGATAACTTTGGAGGCTGTGACATCGGAATAGAGGAAAAACTTTCAGGACTCAGAGAGCTGAAATGCTCATGAATATCAAGCAAAACAAAAATTAACTGCATGGACTGAACTAATAGAAGACTGAAGTAATCTTTTTGACTTTTTACTTAAAATGTTGCTGATCCTTTGTTCTGTTTTTTCAGTCAAAGAAACCTTTCTTTTGAGCTATTGACAGCTTTTAACAATTAAGTATACACCTATGAACAAAATCTGGAACATATTTGTTTCTCTCTACCTGATTTCTCCAGAATTTGGAAGTTATTTGTGAATATTCTTAACTTATTGGCAATATAGCTATTGCATACGCAGAGTAAGAATCTGTTTTCATTTGTAACAGGACACAATTTGAGAATCTGGTTATTTTACCAAGGCTTTGACTTGAATGGTATACTTTCCTTTAAGGAATCAAACTTGACATACAGAGCCAATAAAAGCTCCTTGAGAAAACTGGCCCACACCTCATCTACACAGTCCCTGCACAGGGCTCCTGACCTGTGGTAAGTAGAGACTGTCATTTTCTGACAGGCTCAGGGCCCCAAGTTATTTTAAAGCCTCAAGAGGAGAATTCACACAATTCATGAGTATTTGATGGTACAAATCCATGGCTGTGCTTGGCTTTAAAAAGTCTTATCTGAGATTCCTTCTATGAAAAAAGTTCCATCAAAGCCAATTTTAAAAACCTATTGAAAAAATCATTATTCTTGCTGCACTTTATACAAATAATCTGGCCAAATATAATAAGTCAAATTGGTCCTATCATGATTTGTCTTTAGTAAAAATGGGAAACTAGGAGAGAAAAATTATGTTTCAAAAACTATAGTACACCTGTTCTTAGATTCTAGTCTTGCTTGTTTTCAATTTTTATTATTTTCAACAGTTTGAACTGAATTCTAATTTTTCCTGGTTACTGGTCTCCAAAATAATGTTTTCAATACTTTTCTTCTTTCTTTTCCTTTTTTGCCACATTTTTCCTAATTTGAAATCACTGAAAACTAAGATGTGATTTCTTAAAGCCCTGCAAAATGAATCTGGACAACTTAATGTCAGAAGAAAGTAACAGCAACCTATTTACATACATAAGCCACTTTCATACCTGCCTACTGATGTACAGACTTCAGAGTAATGTGGTCTATATTGATTTTCCAGGATTGTTCTTTTGTTTGTTGTTGTTTTTCTCCCTTTTTCTCCCGGTTTTCTCTTCATAGAACATGAGAATTCTCAACCTGCTAAAAATGAGTTTTCTTAACTCAGGACCTGCACATCTAGGAGTAAACCATCCTACTCGTGAATGATCAGAGAAAACCTGAGACCAGAGACTCACTTTCTTCTAAAATGCTTTCTCCAAAATATTTTAAAAAAAGAAAAGGGGGGAAATGTGAAAGGAAAATAAATCTTAGAGACCCAAAAATCACTAAACTAAAGGGAAAAGTCAAGCTGAAAACTGTTTAGGGCAAGCTTGCCTCCCATTCGATTCAAAGTCATCCCTCTGCTCACTGAGATAAATGCATATCTGATTGCCTCCTTTGGAAAGGCTAATCAGAAACTCAAAAAAAATGCAACCATTTGTCTCTCACCTACCTGTGACCTGAAAGCACCCTCTGTGCTTGAGTGGTCCCACCTTTCCTGATGGAATCAATCAATGTATGTCTTACGTATATTGATTAATGTCTTATGTCTCCCTAAAATGTATAAAACTGGCCAGGTGTGGTGGCTTATGCCTGTAATCCCAGACTTTGGGAGGTTGAGGCGGGTGGATCACAAGGTCAGGAGTTCAAGATCAGCCTGGTAAAGATAGTGAAACCCTGTCTCTACTAAAGTTACAAAAATTAGCCGGGCAAGTGGCGGGAGCCTGTAATCCAAGCTACTTGGGAGGCTGAGGCAGAGAACTGCTTGAACCTGGGAGGCAGAGGTTGTGGTGAACCAAGATTGCACCACTGCACTCCAGCCTAGGCAACAGAGCGAGACTCTGTCTCAAAAAAAAAAAAAAAACCAGCTATGCCCCCACCACCTTGGGCACATGTCATCAGGACCTCCTGAGGCTGTATCACAGGCGCACATTTTCAACCTTTGCAAAATAAACTTTCTGAATTCACTGAGACCTGTCTCAGATTTTTGAGGTTGACACATGAAATCAGACATACCAGCAGAACAAAATAGAGCCCAGAACTAAACCAATACATTTATGGTCAATTGATTTTTGACAAAAGTGCCAAGAATACACAACGGGGAAAGGGCAGTCTCTTCAATACATGTTGCTGAGAAAACTGAATAACTACATACGGTAGAATGAAATCAGAACTTTGTCTCACACCATATCCAAACATCAACTCAAAATGTATTGCAAACTTCAATGTAAGACCTGAAACTAAAAAACTACTAAAAGAAAACTTAGGGGAAATGCTCCATGATATTGGCAAGGATTTTTTGGATATGACTCCAAAAGCACAGGTTACAAAAATATATAAATGAATTACATCAAACTAAATAGCTTCTGCACAGGAAAGAAAGAAAAAAAAATCAACAGAGTGAAGACACAACCAAAAGAATGGGAGAAAATATTTGTAAACCACATATCTGATAAGAGGTTAACATCCAAAGTATATAAGAAACTCAGGCTCATGCCTGTAAACCTAGCACTTTGGAAGGTTGAGGTGGGTGGATCACCTGAGGTCAGGAGTTCGAGACCAGCCAAGCTAACATGGTAAAATCCCATCTCTACTAAAAATACAAAAATGAGTGGGGCAAGGTGACACACACCTGTAGTCCCAGCTATTTGGGAGGCTGAGGTACCAGAATCACTTGAACTCTGGAGGTGGAGGTTCTCAGTGAGGTGCCATTATGCCACTGCACTCCAGCCTGGGTGAGAGAGAGAGAGAGAAAAAAAGAATATGACAAATAGCAGTTTCAGTATGGGAAAGACATATACTTTCTTATACTTCTGCCATTGTCCACTGCATGATTTATTCACATATTTTGGAGTATAGGGAAGGCAGGATTCTGCAATTCTGAATAATGGAAACTGTGGCCAAGTATATAAAGCCCAGGTAGCAGTTATTAGGTATTCTGATAATACTTTGACGACCTTGTTTGTCAGCTGGTATTAACTTGAATGTGTTCTTGTTTAGTTATTATTCAATTGGTGTCTTCTTATTTTCACTTCTGACTTCAACAAATACCTGGAAACTTATTCTGTATTTGGCACAGATCTATGCTGTGGAAGAACAATAAATATAGTAGTGCTCTCAAAAACTTGCAATAAATGGGCCAGGTGCAGTGGTTCATGCCTGTAATACTAGCACTTTGGGAGGCCAAGGCAGGCGGATAACTTGAGATCAGGAGTTGAGACCACCCTGGCCTACATGGTGAAACCCCATCTCTACTAAAAATACAAAAATTAGCCAGGTGTGGTGGTGGGTGCTTGTAATCTCAACTAACCTTGAGGCTGAGGCAGAAGAATCACTTGTGACTGGGAGGTGGAAGTTGCAGTGAACCAAGATGGCGCCAACACACTTCAGCTTGGGCAACAGAGCCAGACACCACCTAAAAGAAAAGAAAAAAACCTGCAATAAATGCAGGATGATAGATGCAGGCTGGTAATTTGGGGATACTGTTGAGAACTAAAGAAATAAAGTGCTTGGGATCATAGGATATAAAAAATACTTCATGGAGAAAGTGGGCCTCAAGAATGGCTGTGACTAGACCAGTAATTAAGGAAGCAGTGGCCTCCACATTTTATCCTCCTGCACTCACTCTTCAGTAATAAGGGGACAGAAAAGGAGGGGCATGAAAGGAAGTCTTTTTTTATCCTACTTCTAGGGAAACTGCCCCAAGAAAACTTTGGTCAGCAGCTTCTATAAATCATTGTGAATCTCATGATCCATAACATGCAAAAGAAACTCCTCTGTTTACATTTTTAAGTCTTATAGTATTCCATCTTGTAGATACACCAAATTTTATTTTGTGGTCCCTGGAGCACCCAAGGGTGGTTTCCATTTCCACCCTTTTGAATTTACAGTGCTGCAGGAAATGCTCTAGTATCTGTATCCTGTAAAAGTTGTGAAAGTATTTCCAAGGGTAAATTTCTAGCAGTGGGAATGATTGTTCAAGGGATAGATTATGCCAAATTATTCTCAAAGGAGGCTGCACCAATTTATATTCCCTCCACCAGTACACAATGGCCTGTTTTCCTACCTGGTCACCAGCTCTGACTGTCAAACGTTAAACTTTTGCTTATCTCATATATGTAGGTGGTATCTTCTTATAGTTTGGATTTGCATTTCTTAAAATGTGAGTATGACTGACCACCTTTCCGGGACTAATTGGCTGTATTTACTTTTCTATCCTCTGGCCAAGCTAAGTGTTAAGAATCCAGGGAAGATATAATTTTGAGTCATCAGCATATACATACAGATGGTATTTAAAGTCATAAAAGTGAATGAGATCCCCAAAGGAGTGAGTATAATTAAGCAGCCCTGAGGGAACTCCTATATCAGAAAGTCAGGGAAATGGGAGGAACCAGAAAAGAGACTATGAAGAGTAGTCAGTGAGCTGGGGAGAAAATGAAGGAAGTGTGATGTCCCAAAAGCCAAGTAAAGAAAGTTTATCAGCTGGGCACAGTGGCTCATGCCTGTAATCCCAGCACTTTGAGAGGCCAAGGTGGGTGGATCACTAGAGGTCAGGAGTTCAAGACCAGCCTAGGAAACATAGTGAAACCCCGTCTCTACTAAAAATACAAAAATTAGCTGGGCATGGTGGCACTCGCCTGTAACCCCAGCTTATCAGGAGGCTGAGGCAGGAAAATCGCTTGGACCCAGGAGGCAGAGGTTGCAGTGAGCCAGGATTGGACCACCGCATTGCAGTCTGGGCAACAGGCAACAGAGTGAGGCTCCGTCTCAAAAAGAAAAACAGAAAGAGAAAAAAAACAGTTTATCTAGGAGAAAGCAGTGACTGGCTAGTTCAAATGCTACCGATAGGACAAATAAGAAGAGGCCAGGAAATGGCAATTGAAGAGCAAGGTGAAGGTCACTGGTGGCCTGACAAGAGTAGTTTCAGTGGAGCGGTGTCGGTGAAATGCTAAGTGGAGTGGATTCAAAGGGTGGGAGAACTTTGAAGATGCAAATCCAAGGAGGAAAGAATTGCTGAAAGATGTCCCTCAGTGAGAATGGGATCCAGCGAACAACAGAAAGGGCTGGTGGTAGCTGGGTAGATGTGGGAGCCTAAGATTCTCTTCTGGTTGCTTCTGTTTCATCCCTATCAACCTGGCAATGCCCTAATCTGAGAAAACTTTAAACCAGAAGGCACACTTGCTCTTGAGGCCATTCAGTTGTAATAAACTTGCACAGGAGAGGTAGGTGGGAAGGGCCAGGGAACTTCCCCTAAGGTAGGAGACAGGCTCAATGCTGGGCATCAGCATCTGCACGACAATGGTGCCATTCTGCAGACGGAAGAATGCAGGAGAAACATCACTACAGTTTCATTTCCATTCCTTCCTAGATTAAGTCTCACAGTCACAAATCTTTTTTCTTTTTTTCTTTTTTTTTTTCTTTTTTTTTAGGCAGGGTCTCATTGTCGCCGAGGCTAAAGTGCAGAGGCAGGACCACAGCTCACTGTAGCCTCAACCTCCTCAGCTCAAGCTATTCTCCCACCTCAGCCTCCCGAGCAGATGGGACCACAGGCACACACCACTACACTCAGCTAATTTTCAAATTTTTTGTAGATATGGGGTCTCACCATGTTGCCCAGCCTGGTCTCAAACTGCTAGCCTAAAGCAAACCGACTGCCTCAGCCTCCCAAAGTGCTGAGGTTATAGGCATGAGCCATTGAAAACAGTGACTTACAAATCTTCTATTTGGACCTTGTTTCCTGCAAATTTGAAGATGTCCTCTAACTACTAGTGTTAATCTATCAAAATGGCAGTTTAAGTACTGTACTTAGCAAACTGAGCTCCATTTGGAATGAGTCTGTACATCTCACGTCCTTAAAATGCTACAGGAAGAATCATTCATCCACAAATATTAACTGTAACATTCTAAAGTTTCCAGACATTTAATTTAGAAGGAATTAAAGCTGTCAGGCAGGGTGTGGTGGCTCATGCCTGTAATCCAAGCACTTTGGGAGGCTGAGGCAAGAGGATTGTTTGAGCCTGTGAGTTTGAGACCAGTCTGGGCAATATAGGGAGACCTCCTGTCTACAAAAAAAGAAGGCAAGAAATAACCAAGATCAGAGCAAAACTGAAGGAGACAGAGACACAAAAAAAACTTCAAAAAAATCAATGAATCCAGGAGCTGGTTTTTTGAAAAGATCAACAAAATTGATAGACCACTAGCAAGACTAATAAAGAAGAGAAGAATCAAATAGATGCAATAAAAAATGATAAAGGGGATATCACCACCGATCCCACAGAAATACAAACTACCATCAGAGAATGCTATAAGCACCTCTATGCAAATAAACTAGAAAATCTACAAGAAATGGATAAATTCCTGGACACATACACCCTCCAAAGACTAAACCAGGAAGAAGTTGAATCCCTGAATAGACCAATAACAGGCTCTGAAATTGAGGCAATAAATAATGGCCTACCAACCAAAAAAAGTCCAGGATCAGATGGATTTACAGCCAAATTCTACCAGAGGTAAAAAGAGGAGCTGTTACCATTCCTTCTGAAACTATTCCAATCAATAGAAAAAGAGGGAATCCTCCCTAACTCATTTTATGAGTCCAGCATAATCCTGATACCAAAGCCTGGCAGAAACACAACAAAAAAAGAGAATTTTAGAACAATACCCCTGATGAACATCAATGCAAAAATCCTCACTGTAAAATACTGGCAAACTGAATCCGCCAGCATATCAAAAAGCTTATCCACCACAATCAAGTTGGCTTCATCCCTGGGATGCAAGGCTGGTTGAACAATCGCAAATCAATAAACGCAATCCATCACATAAACAGAAACAACGACAAAAAACACATGATAATCTCAATAGATGCAGAAAAGGCCTTCAACAAAATTCAACAGTCCTTCATGCTAAAAACACTAAAAAAAACTAGGGATTCATGGAACGTATCTCAAAATAATAAGAGCTATTTATGACGTTCTTATTATTTTATACAAACCCACAGCCAATATACTGAATGGGCAAAAACTGGAAACATTCCCTTTGAAAACCAGCACAAGACAAGGATGCCCTCTCTCACCACTCCTATTCAACATAGTGTTGGAAGTTCTGGCCAGGGCAATCGGGCAAGAGAAAGAAATAAAGGGTATTCAGTCAGGAAAAGAGGAAGTCAAATTGTCCCTGTTTGCAGATGACATGATTGTGTATTTAGAAAATCCCATCGTCTCAGCCCAAAATCTCCTTAAGCTGATAGGCAACTTCAGCAAAGTCTACAAGCAGACTTCATTGATGTCACCGTAAACGATGAATGCTGTCACTCTTTTTTATATATAACAAGAAGATACGCTGCTGCATCCAGACCTCATTGTAGAAGCTGTCAGCCTCACTGAAATGGCATTGCATAAGCTATTTATAATAATATGAGGAAAAATACAAGGTTAAGAGATCTTTATCTGCTATCTATGGAAATGTGCTTCCACACAAAGGCGGTACATGAAATAACCTTCCGGATAACCCATGACACTGGGGGAACTGTAAAGTGAGATTAACTAGCAGACACAAATCTGCATTCAAATTATGTTTGTGCTCAACCCTGATGCCTTGGCCTCTTGAACACACAGTTGTTTTTCTAGCTTTCTCTATGTAAAATCCCACTCCGAATTTTACAGCACTCATTGGTGTGACAGATTCACAAG